CCCCCTTTTAAAGGGCCCCCCCCCCCCCCCCCTCCGCCGCCATCTCATCCACCTATGCCACCACCATCATCGCCACCTCCGTCACCGCCCGTCCCCCTCACCCACACCACCCTCGCCCGCACCGGCACCTCGCCGACATCCAGCCGGAGCTGCGAGTCCACACGGAAGCCTCTAGGGCGAATTCACTGGGACAGTGATTTCGCAGAGACTACCTCATTTGCTGCTCCCCCCATGAAGGGGGGTTTGTGTGGGAAGCCAAGGGAGGTTAATGGCTTCCCACATTTGTGATGGGTCGAAATCGGCCCGCCGCATTGATGGTCGAATCGGTGTAACGAATCGAGAGAGAGAGACGCGAGGGCCCAAGAGGCCCGTGGGCTCGCCTGCAGAGCGTCTCTCTCTTGCCATTCTGCTTGTCTGTTTTGTGGCCTCTTCTCTCGTCTGTCGGTGTTTTGTCCCACCCTGAGCATTGTGCTCTTCCCGCCCTGGGGGTTGTGCTGTCTTCCTCCTCCTCCGCCGTGTGCCGGGGAGTCGATCAGGCAGTTCACTTTGGGGGCTACGGGTATCCCCCCTGGCTATACTTTGAGATTAGGCATCAAAAGTGGTTCACAGTGGAGGCGGTCGCCGTCCTACTTGTTCAAGGTCCGTGAACGGCGTCAAAGAGACACAGCGGGTCCCGCTTTAGCGCTGCCCTCCTCGCCGCGTCCCTCGCGGCCTTACAGACGAGGCAGCCCTTGAGTTCGCTCCTTGTGGCGGCGCCCGGGGTCTCTCTCCCCGCCTCTCCCCGCATGATCCTCTCGTGGTGCGCTCCGTGTGGCACCCCCGCCTGCTGCCGCAACCGCGCTCCTATGACGGTCTTTGTCACCACGTTGTGATCATCCACATCGGCGAATTCAATCTCGCGCTCGCCGTGCTGATCCTTGATCCGCTGGCGCTTGTCCCATTTGTGTCTCGTCGTTCCCCTGACCACATCGCTCCACAGCGGCCCCGTCACCCCTGCCGTGTGCGACCCCGCCGTGAGCCCCTCGCCGAGCCGTCCTCGCACCCACTCGTTCGTGTGGCCGCGTGTGGCGTAATAGGTCCTCCGGTCCAGTACGTCCCGCCCCCACTCTCTGTCTGCCGTCCTCCGGCGGTCCGTGTATAGGCACGGGCGTGTCCTCACTGCTTCACGGATGACGGCGGTGGCATCCTCAATCTCGCTGGCCCCCATGTATGCCGTCGCCGCGGCGTCGGCGTAGGCGTTGCTAGCGCACCCCGCGTGGCTGCCTCGGTACCCACAGGAACGTGACGGATTCAAGCTGGGCGCGATATCTGCATATCCCCTCCAGGCAACCTCCTCGATCCCACTCCCGGAGCCCCCCGAGAGAGCCTTTTCGGTACGCCGCCTCGATCTGCTGTAGCGCGGGCTTGCAGTCGCTCAAGACGAGGCACCTCCTGTCCGCCGCATCCTCCGCCGTTGCCATCTTACGCAGGTAAGCCAGCACCGCGAACATTTCCGCGTCTATCACCTGCCAGTCGTCTGGCAGTCTGCCGCCCCACAGCCCCTGCCCAAACGCGAGCCGCAGCTCATCGTCCCCGCCTTCATTCACGTTCAGATGCGGACGTCTCGAGATTTTAGAGTTGTCGCCTGAGAGTAGGTTGCTACACTCTCGCTTCTTTGGAGAGAGGCGCCTCTCCGCACCCCGTACACAGGGTACACCACGACGGATCTGGGTGGGTACTTGACGAGTTCTCGTAAGAAGGGAAACCGAACGAATTTTTCACTGGGCACGGGACTGGCCAGGCCAGGGAGTCGCGCCGCTGGTCATATGCATGTACACCTCTGCGAGGTCTCAAAAATGGGTCGTTGTTGTCGGGGTGTAGAGCTCTAACCAGGTGATATACAGACGTATGGAGTGGCCGGCGCAGGGCGCAGCGCCGTGCGCGCCAATCGGCGAGGACGCCTTCGCGCCTCCGCGAAACGGCGTCTGCTGCGCCGGCCTCTCGAAGACGTGGAAGGCCGCGGATGCCTTTCACGAGACGCCGTGGTACCAGTGCTTGCCCGATCCAAAGACCTCGCTGCCAACGCCGCCGCCGCCAGCGGCAGCGCCGTGCGCGCCGGAAGGCGAGGACGCCTTCGCGCCTCCGCGAAACGGCGTCTGCTGCGCCGGCCTCTCGAAGACGTGGAAGGCCGCCGATGCCTGGCACACTGAGCCGTGGTACGAGTGCATCGCCTCTCCCTCTGCACCGACAGGCTCTACACTGTCAGCGGTTGCGCCGCCGCCGCAAAAGAAGAAGAAGAGGAAGAAGCCACCGCCCTCACTGCCACCCCCGCCTGCACCATCGTCGCCGCCGCCGCCGCCGCCGCCGCCGTCCCCAGCCCCACCGACGCCGCCGCCGCCGATGCCGGCACCGGTGCCCCTGCCGCCGCCGCCGCCACCTCCGCCGTCGCCACAATCGCCACCGCCGCTTGCACCTCCGCCGTCGCCACAATCGCCACCGCCGCTTGCACCTCCGCCGTCGCCACAATCGCCACCGCCGCCACTGGCGATTCCACCGCCGCCGCCGCCCGCCTTTCCATCGCCGCCGCCGCCGCCGCCGCCGCCGCCGCCGCTCACACTTCCGCCATCGCCGACGCCGCCGCCACTGCCGCCGCTGCCCGCACTTCCTCTGCTGCCGCCGAAGGGCTCGAAACGTCCGAAGGGGACGAAAGGACCGAAGACCCGCCCCATGGCCGGCACGAGGCCGGCGTCCAGACCCGAGCCGGCGGTGTCGGGAGAGAGCGGAGGCGATGAGGCTCGAGCGAGGGACGGAGGGCGAGTGGGGGAGGGGGGGCGAGTGGAGCCGGGGGAGGGAGGGCGAGCGGGGGCGACGGAGGGCGACGGTGGCGAGAGAGGCGAGTCGCACGACTTGGCGGAGGCGGAGGCAGACGATGCGGATAGGCTGGGCGACGCGGTGGACGAGTTTTTGGAGCACGCGGGCACTGCGGCCACGATGGCGGCCAGGGCAGCGCACGGGCTGCTCGACGGTGCGCTGCAGGGCTCGCTGCAGTGGCTGCACGTCAACGAGATGGACGCGTGGGTCGACACGCTGGGCATCTCGAGCGACGCGCTGAATGAGGCGGCGCAGCGGCACCGCTGGCTGCTCGCTCTGGCGCTGGAGCTGGCCGCCTGCTGCCTCTGCCTCCGCGCCTGCTGCCGCTGCCTGCAGAGCTACTGTGCGTGCTGCTGCTGCTGCTGCGAGGGAGATGGCCGCGGCAACCGCGGCCGCTCTCGCTACTCTCGCGTCGATGGCGACGGCTTCGACGACATCAGTGCGCGCAGCCCACCACACCCGCTAGCGTTACCCTGTGTTGTAGCGGCCCCCTCCCTCCCCCTCCGCCTCCCCCGACCCAACTTTCGCCCTCTCCCCGCCGCATCTGCCTGCCGCATCTCCCTGCCGCAGGGTACATCGACGAGTTCGACCGCTTTCCAGCTGGCGGCGCTGCCGGCGAGGCGGGTCGGGAGTCGGCGCTCCACAGCATTTTGCTGGAGCGGCTGCAGAGCTCCCTCGAGGCGGGCCACGTGCTGCCGGCAGGTGAGCGCGCGTGGGACCAGATGCAGCGTCGGCTGGGCGAGGCGATCGACAGCCACACCGTCGTGCAGGCCGCCGCGGCGGACTGCGCGCCAGCCGAGGCGCCCGGGGTTGGGACGGCCACTCCTAGGGCCATTCCCGCGTGGCTGAGCCCCGCGGGCGGCAACAAGGCGGGCGAGGCCGCGCCGCGGGAGGAGGCCGCCAGCGGCGTGCTGAGCAGCCAGCCGACCCAGCTACCCGACCCGTTCGACCCGACCCACGCGCCGACGCGACACGACCCTTTCGAGCCGCGGGGCCCAGTGCAGGGCTCTCCTCTCCACGCCGCCAGCTACCGCGGGTGCTCCGGAAAAGAGCCCACCGGCCAGTCGGCTGTGGACAGCGGCGCGAGCTTCGCGGGCTACGGGCAAGGCCGGCTCGGGCAGATGGCGCAGATGGCGCAGTGGAGGGAGGAGGAAGGGCGTCGCAATGCGATTCGGCAGGCGGACTTTCCGACTCCCATCTCTGCGCGTCTCCCGAGCAGTGGCATCACGCAGCCCTGTCTGGACGACTGGACCTAGGCGCCTGAGGCGCAGGGGGGATATAACCCAGGCGCCTGTCATGGGGACATGACACATGGCGTATCTGTTCTCTCCCTGAGCGATTTTTTCGTCCCGAGAGATGGATAGAGGATGATTCGGGACTTAAAAGTAAAACATCTCAGTGTGTCTCGCTCGCGCGCAGACCGGACAACACACGGACGCGGCAGAATGCGGGCCTCCGGCCCCGCCCGCATTACTCGCCCTCTGTCACAGTGGCATGCACAGTGGGCGCTGCGTCTGGAGGGAACGCGCCCTCCATCGGAGGCGGCGACGCCGAGGGGGGGGGAATGGACGGGGGTGGTGTCGAAGGCGGCGGCATGGACGGGGGAGGAGTTGACGGGGGTGGCATCGAAGGCGGTGGCATCGAAGGCGGCGGCGTCGACGGCGGCGGCATGGATGGCGCTTCACTCTCCTGCGGCGCAGCGGCGTCCGTGGAGTCATCCTCGTCAGCCGGACACGGTGGAGCGCCCTCCTCGGCCGGGGCCTCCTCGGGCCACAAGCCGAGGAAGAAGTCGCCTTTGCAGGCAGCCTCCGGATAGTGCGCCTGCAGCCCCTTCCGCAGCGCCGGGTCGGAGAGAGTCGCCCTCGCCAACGCTGCTTCGGCGGCCAACGCGTCCATCTGCGCGACTGCCGCCGCGCGCCGCGCCTCGACCGCCTCAGTCGAGTCCTCTCCCCGCCGCAAGCCGTCGATCTCGTCCTCGAGGGAGAGCTTCTGCTCCGAGAGCGAGGCGAGGCGCTGCATCGCGGCAGTCGCCTCTGCCAGCACCTTTGCGCCGGCCGCGAGGCGCTCCTCCTGATCGACGACCGACGCGTGCTGCTGCGCCATCGCGAGCTCCGCCTCGGCGTCGCCGCTCAGCGCCTCCGAAGCGCCCGCCGAGAGGGCGGCGCCGCATCTCGCCGTGGCGACGGCGAGCGGACCCTTGACTGCCGCCAGCAGCTCGAGCTCGCGGTCGAGCGCCCGCCGCAGCGTCGCCATCGCCTCCTGCGTCTCCCGGTTCGCCTCGCCCACCTGGACGAGCAGCAGCCAATCTCATCCACTCGCGTCTCATCCCACCCACTCGCACCTCGCCCGCCTGGCCGAGCATCGCGCGCAGGACCGGAAGCGCCTCGCCGAGCGCCTCCGGTATGCTCGGCGCCGGCTCACCGGCCGGAGCCGGCCCCGCCTCGTGCGCTGCAGCGGCCAACGGCGGCCCGCCTTGGCATGACGGCAGCCCTCCCAGCGCTGGCAGCGCCGCCTCGAGCTCCGCCTTGGCCGCAGCCGCCTTGAGGCTCCCCGTGCGCCGCGCCTCGAGCTTCAGGCGGAGGGCGGCCTACTCGCACCGAAGAAGGTGAGGGACGCACTGCTCGCGCCTCGCAGCTTCAGGCGGAGGGGCGAGTGCCAGCACGGTGGCGTAAGTGGCGGCGGCGCCGTCGCGCGCGGGAAGCGCCGCCACGTCGTCGGGCGAGTCTCGCACCGCCGCCACGGCGGCGCGGTACGCCTACATACCCAGAACGGCGCTCGAGTCGAAGCGCGCACCGCCCTCGCCGGCCGCCGGAGGAGGGAGAGAGAGAGAAGAGGGCGCGCCTGCTCCGCCTCTCCAGCCCGCACCTCGAGCGCCGTGATCTCCGCCTCGAGCCTGCGCCGCTCCAGCGATGCTCGTCTCGCGGGGAGCAGCGTCTGGGTGGCGAGCAGGCACTGCTGCTGCAGCCGCGCCGCGCCGACGAACGTCTCCTCCTCGCCAATCAGGCGCGCGCACTGCGGCTGCAGCGCCGCGATGGCGTCCGACTCGAGCTGCAGCGACGCCTGCACGGGCCCGAGCTGGCGCACCTCTTGCAGCAGCCCCTCCTATTCATCCATCGCCGGACGAGATGCTATGCCGTCGAGAAGCCTCCCGCTGCTTGGACGGCCCCTCCTGCGACGCAGCCTCCGCCTCGAGCGCCTCCTCCTCCTCCCGCCCCTGCAGCAGCGCGGCCGCCGACTCGTGCCCCGCCGCCTCGGCTACCTCCCGCGCCGTCCGCCCGCCAGCGTCGCGGAGCAGCACCGAAGCTCCCGCCCGGCAGAGCGCCTCGAGCACGTCGCGCTGGTCCAGGTGTGCCGCAACCATCAGCGCACTCCACCGGTCCGCGACATCGTACGCGCGGTCTGGGTCGGCGCCGGCCTGCGGCAGACAAGACGCGAACGACTCAGCCTCCCAGCGGCGCGGGCTCTAGGGACGGGAGCGGGCCCGGCCTGCAGCAGCGCGCTCACGCACGGTGCGTGGCCGCGCATCGCCGCGATAAGGAGGGGCGTGAAGCCTCCCTCTTTTTGCGCGTCGACAGCGGCGCCGCCCGCGATCAGCATCGCGAGCGCGGCTCGCGAGTCGTTTTGTGCTGCGACGTACAGCGGCGTCGCCCCAGACGCGCGCGGTTGGTTGACGTCGCAGCCGCTGCGAATCAGCACCTCGAGCGCGGCGGCAGCGTTGCTGCGAGCGGCGACAAAGGCGGCAGTGGCGCCCGAGCTGTCAGCTATGTTGATGCTGGCGCGTGCCCTGAGCAGCAGCGACACAGACGGCGCGTCGTCCTGCGTCGCAGCGAGAAGCAGCAGCGGCGTCGTGTCGGACGAGCGGTGATTGACGGCAGTGCTGGCCCAGCGGAGCGATGCGAGAGAAGCCTCCAGCGCGCCAATGTCCCGGTTAAAGATGTGGTCACGCAGGGAAGCATGTGTCTCCTCCACAGCTGGGCCGCGCTTGCCGAACATTCCGGTCCAAACCGGGGACCACGCAGGGCGCAGCACCTGCAAAAGAAATCCCGGTGCCGAAGCAGGGATAGCCGTTGAGGAGAAAGGGCGTAATAGATCTCTCTGGATAGCCCCGGTATCCGAAGCCTCTCGAGCTTGCTTGAGAGGTCGGCCTCCACCTCGCAAAATAACCCCTCCGTCCACGTGGCAATCTCCCGCGTGCCGAACCGGCGCGAGAGGGAGTATCCGCGGGTCGGGCGGGGGGGCCCCTCCCTCCTAGATGATGATTCTAGCACTTCCCTCCATAAGATAAGGCCACCTCGAATGTGTATAGAGGTGGTCATTGAGAGGGGAGTCCTAGAAACTGAGGGAGTTGGAGGTTATTTTGTCTGTCTGCCGAACATTCGACCGGGCGTCTTGCGAAAATCTGCGTGGCCGCGGGTGTGTTTTATTTTTGCTAGGGGCGGGTATGTAGGGTAGGGTCTGGGCCCTCCCGTCGGGTTTTTCCCTCTCTCACGCCGGAATTTTCACAGCAGAAAAAGAAATTTTCCGCGCAAATCACGATGTCAACCCTCCCCAAGTCGTTGATCTGGTGCTTGTAGCATGTAGGGCTTGAGAGTGGCCTGCCATGTCACAGGAAGGACTGTGGTTGCAGGAGAGTACCACCAGCCATCACTTTAGTTGGTGTATATACCACCTTTACCCGTCGCGTGATTTCTTTTTTAGTTTCCCATTAGTAAGGTAGGTAGGTAGGTAGGTAGGTAGGGGCAGGGCAGGGGCCGGTCAGGTTTTTGCAGAATTTCATCATGATACCCGCCCCCCCGCCCCAAGCAAAAATAAAACACACCTGCTGGCGGCCCGCTGGATGCGCTTCTCAGCTCACCGGCCCTGGATGTGAGGTTGCCGACTGCACTCCAAGTGCTCCAAGTGCTGGCCTTGCTTGTCAGTTCAGGAGCAGAGAGAGCCCCACGTGTGCCGGCGAAAATGCCACGTTCGGATCGCTCCTCATCGCAAACCCCGTCAGCAGTCCTCCTCCGGGAATGTACGTAAGAGCTACATACACTGAAAATGTGCCCCTGATCGTCCTTCCAAAATCCTGCTCGTGCAGGTGGGGACCCTGTCCTCCTCCCTATCCCTCGTTGGCGTGTGTTTTCTTTCTATTTTCGCTCTTCAACAAACAACAACTCTCTCACGCTCTCCAACTAGATAGAAGAA